CGAAGGCGAATACGATTAATATATGTAGAAAAGAAAAAAGTACCTCCAGAAATTTTCGTTAAGCAAGGCATGTTGCACATAGGAAGGCATTTGGTAAGTTTTTTGTAAAATAAGTTGTATAAATAACAGTAGCAACCTAGTTAATGAAAAATAATTTAAGGTTATAAAGCCAGCTTTATTGGCGATCAAGCTGTGAATGGAACTTACGGAATGGAAAGGGAGACCTATACAGAGCTTTTTAAGCGAAAAGGAAAGAGAGGAATTCCAATCTGGTAGATTGAAGTTGGGAGATATAACATTACCAGGATTGAGCGAACAGGATGAAAATAATGTAAGTATAATGTTGATATTAAGTATAAATATAAATAAAAGGTTGTATTTCGTTGACGTAATTAATCGAAGTAAATAAGGTCAATATACATGTTGAATAAAGAAGACTTATATATAGATCTATTGCAGGCAGATACTTCTCAGAATAATACTGAGGTGACTACATCTTCTAGAAAAAGATATATGAGTGAGGGCACTAATGCATTGCCATCGAAAAGGCCTAGTGCATGAATAAATGTATTGAAACCGCGTTGTATGAATAAGCAAGAATGTTGTTATATTGATTGTTGTTGTATATTTTGTTGGAATAATAGAATTTATGGGTATATTGTTGTTATATAATTTGATGGTGTTGTTGAATTTTTTAGAGTTTATTAATATATTATAATCTTATGATTATAATAAAAAGTTTTTTATGTTTACTTAAGGTGTGTACTTATAGAAAGAAAATAAAAGATGATTACACAAATTATTTAAAATATGAAGTTTAAAGTTGACGTCTATCGACGTCCGACGACCTTGGGTCGGTACGAAGAGTAGTTGACTACAGGACAGTAAACTGCCATGTAATCCGCCCCTTGGGGGCAAGTCCGTAAGGACTTATTGTAAAGTAGTATAAATTATTTAATATTTGACAAAGGAGTTGTATTATTACCCTTTAATAGGTACTAACACTCAATAGCGTCGGGTTTCCCTCGAGCTGCTACCTGGTGTTAGTATTCTAATAAATAAATATAAACGATAATGTTAAAACAAAGTATTAAGATATAAGGGGGGACAAATCAAGGAGTTAGTTCAACTTCCGTTTCGCACGTGCCCTCTAACATACTGTGGAGGCAGTACCATCCCATAAGAGTATGGAAGGGAACCGACGCAGCCGTGGATTACCGTGTAGCAGATGTTCCCGAACATTGGCGAGCTGGTAGAAGACCCCGGTCACCTACGCCTGTGCCACCCTTCATAGCAACCACCAATGTGGAATGGCCGCGACGGCACAACAGCGTCATGAGTTCCGACAAACTGATTACTCTATCCATATCTAAGTGAGAGTACGTCCCTGCTGTCTATATAACATGGCAGACATTTTAGTTGGGGGAGTTGTCGAAGGATTCCTTTGACTCATCTTAAAAGAGTCCCTATAGCTAACCGTTGCCGTCAATGATAAACCCAGGAAATACCAATAACCTCCTTGCTACATGATCGTATAATACTACAATACTGTGCACATTTTATGAAAGTATTTACTGCATACAAATAACATGATATGACTTTGTTCGGCATTCCTCATTTAGGCTTCGCTATCCAGCAATACCTGCATGAGCATGGTTAACCGAAACATGACATGAAACATAATAGTATCCTTCACAGACATTGCGGGTATAATATGAACAGAAAATCGACATCTCCTCACTGACTAGTTCTAAATATTAGCCCTTTTTCTACGAAACCCACATGAAGGCATTAAGGAGAAACGTCGAGTCAAAATATCTAAAACGTATCTGTTGCCTTTGGAGTAATGCGCTGAAGGTCGCACTTACATGAAACTAAAACGCTCGGTAATTTTTTTAGATGAGATTTTCGAGATTTTTTGAGCTAGCGGTTGCAGTTCAAGTTCAAACTGAGCTTTCTACCTCAAGAACTATGAAGATGAATTTCTCCGGGCATAGATGACTATGGGGCACCAGGACCGCAGTTTTTCATTTTATGCTACATATAAAGCAACGAATTTTCGCCAGCAGCCAGCAACTTCTCTTCAGATCCTGCACTGTAAAATGGCTGATAAGTGATATATCATTTCACTTTTTTGTACTCGAATCGTTCGAGGAGTTAAATAGTGAGCCAAACAAACAATATCCCAGACTTAGGTGATAGTGATCAATGCTGCGAGTGCGAGCTCCTCATCGCGGTGTACCGGGTTTAGGAGTAGTCATATGTAGTATTTAACTTCTAACAGGATGCCAGGATGCCGAATTTAACCAAGGGATACTATGGGCTCTCACAATACCAGCTCTTCAACTGGTTTCCAATTAAGAACGGCTTCTTCAGTTCCATCGTCTGGTTGGAGAAGTGGTCGGCCATTACTGTCTCTCCAATCCGACAGTCGGATAACCTTCAGGCGCTGAAAGCAACCAAGCTCTTCTCTTAGCTAACAGTGGCACTAAAAAATTTAAAGATACCTTGAACCCATATCTTGCAAGCAATTTCTGATTAGCAAAAGAAGACGTTTCTGACATAATACCATCTATTCCATACTTCTGTAAATTGAATGATAGTTGAAAACAAAAGAGCAAGAAATCTGAAATTTATTACACGCCCTTACGGAACATGTGAAAGAAACACCAAAAACAAGACATTATAATAGCAACATCCAAAGGCTGTGAGAGATGAAAGTCGTGATGCCACTCGTCCGGTCGTCCGCTTGCTTCACAAATTCCCATTTTACAGGTTTTCTCTACCTAGCCCATTGTGATATGATGTGATCAAAGGTCAGCTACGAGGCAGGATCTTCAACTCGTAGTGTTGTCGCTATGTGACGATGTCACAGTAAAATACGACTAGGAAATGACGCAGTATGAGCCTGAATCTAATGACCCGCCTACCACAGCATTGATGCCATTTTCAGGCAGTACATGTGTATGACAACACAGCATATCGACTCCTCAAAGAACANCACGCCCTTACGGAACATGTGAAAGAAACACCAAAAACAAGACATTATAATAGCAACATCCAAAGGCTGTGAGAGATGAAAGTCGTGATGCCACTCGTCCGATCGTCCGCTTGCATCACAAATTCCCATTTTACAGGTCTTCTCTACCTAGCCTATTGTGATATGATGTGATCAAAGGTCAGCTACAAGGCAGGATCTTCAACCCGTAGTGTTGTCGCTATGTAGCGATGTCACAGTAAAATACGACTAGGAAATGACGCAGTAAGAGCCTGTATCTAATGACCCGCCTACCACAGCATTGATGCCATTTTCAGGCAGTACATGTGTATGACAACACAGCATATCGACTCCTCAAAGAACAGAGTCACAGTCCAGTATATAATCTGCTGAATCATCATATCGTCAGTTGCTCACTTTGCATGCAGCTTCAAGACCCGGGAGATGTGAGAGAGCACGAAATCTCTCAATGCGCACCTAGCTCGGTTTTATCTATGCAGAAATGAATGGTTTCGCAAAACTCTGGAGAGAACTGAGAAACTTTATGAAATTCTTGACCATGAAGTGAACGAGTACATGCCTTGAAGTGAGTAAGAACCTCTCAACCCTACTTGAACATAAGGGATGATTTGCAATTGTAACACACATCTTACCTGCAGTTTTTCATATGAGAAACTGAAGTTCATCATCTTCGTTGCTATTCCCTGACGTTGATATGGTTTACCGACACTGCTTATTTCCCTGAATGCAATTCACCAGTGCACATAGGAGAATAACAACGGCGGCTGTTCGGTTTCTAATGAGCCTGGCACCGAAAAAGGAAATCTTGTCTCGCTCAGGTTAAAGACATATCCTGTCCCTACAGGATAATGGGAGTGTGATAAAAAAAAGAGCTGAAAAAAATACCCTGTCTTATGGTAGGGCTGCCCCGAAATTACGAAATTAGGCTGATAAGTGCTGCATGGATTCCAGGTCAAAGTCAAATGATTAGACGAACTTCAAACGGCACCAAGGAGCTTTTTTTCCAAATGATTTGATTAAAAAATCTGTGAGTCGTTGCCGTTGTGCTTACACATTTGATGGAATATTCTTCGTATTTCTTCGTAAAACCGTGCATAGCACACAGGAGCTATTTCCATGAAATCGATTGGGAAACAGTTATGAGAAGTGAGTGTGGATTGGAAAGGAATAATGTAAAGAAAAAATTGTTGATTCACAGAAAAAAATGGATCTGTTGGATCTGGCAGTTACCTGTGCAGAACCGTTTTCACATGGTCAGGTACAAGATCGAAAAAGGAGTTGTGAAGTTCATTGAGAATCGCTCCTGAAAACAAATTTGTATGTCTCAAGTCAAATGAATTTAGCAAAACATCAAGTCAAACTTGTATGTAGCTAGGAAGACCGTGACTTACGATGCAACAACTTTACCTATTCAAATATCACTGTAACTCAGGTTTCATCGCAGTTGGTAGTTGAATTTACTACATAACGATCGTGACCATACAGATCCCAGGTCCCGCCAACAAAAGTGTTTTTGTACAAAAAGGAAAGTGGTGGTTGAAACAGCCACTCAGTTCGCTCAGCACCTCATGGTGACTGGTAATGATTAAAGTGGTATACACCTTTAAAGAGTGCGGTTCCGGTAGTTCATTCAAGAATGATCTCGAAAAGAAGCAACTACTAGGATTTGGCATCCGAATGCAAATCTGCTGAGAGCGCCTGCCTGTTGTTTTGTGAACCCAACATTGCCAGCTGATCAGACTCAAATTTCCATTTCTTCCAATGGGAGTTTTTCAAATAGCAAGATAGATTAGGGTCGATAAGTAAGCATGTGAGAGCCATCGTCGAGTGCATATATTCATATAGAATCAAGGAATAGCAGGCAAACGTTATGTCGTAACATAAGTAATGGTTTTTTTTTNNNTTTTTTTTTGAATGCTCAGCAAGCGCCCACAATAGCTCTGTGTGGGATATCTAGAAATCAATGTAGGGTCAAGGATCGTCCTTCATGTTTCCATTCCTACTAAATGTAATCTGACGGTGCTCAGGGAATGTTATGTGCTTCTACCAGTAGTTGCCACTTTCTTTTTTGAAAGTTAGCCGAAGGGACACAAAAAGAACAATACCTGATGCATTACATCGATTTCGACCTCTTTTGGAGCTGATCATTCAATGGAATAGCATGCCTAACACAGTTAAAGATAATCTCATCCGTTAATAACAGTCCCCAAAGAGACTTCTGTTCCGCACACAGGGACTTGCTTTGTACAGACGCCCGTTCAAAATCTAAGAAAGAATTCAATCAGTTTGCTAGGGAGATGCAGTGCTCCAATAGAATTATGAGCGGTGCACTTCTAGAAAATCGCTCTAATCAGGTAGACAATGGGTTCTTTATAAAAAGAAGTAAGAATTCAAGAGAAAAATGCCGTTGCCGTAACAAAGCGAACAAAAATGTTAATAGAGTTGAGAAACAGTTGCCTCTTTGCCACTATGCGTTGCTGCGAGGGAGCAGCACCTCTGATGCCAAATGAGTAATTACTTGGGTTTTAACCATGATCATCCAACACTTGATTAAAGGCAAATGAAGTCTGAAGTCTCCTGGCGTTGGTCAATCCCGTGTAAGGGACGCGCCCCGAATTCGACTACCATTAAGATTGTAGAGGCGTATTGAATCGTATGTGGAACATACAAAGACTTGATCTGAGCACCCGATGTACAAGTCAGTGCCCTTCTCATCGGAGACAGTCCCCTACCAATAGATCTTGGAGGGCTGGAAGGCTCGACCTGTCTCCACTGGCATCGATCCGGAGTTGGAACCCCTGACCTTGAGTGTGCAATAGTGCGCCACCTGCTATTACACCACTCTGTCCTGATAAAAGCGAATACACTAATCAATTGCATGTAGTGATATGATATAGGCGCTTCTTTTGGTCTCTTCTGTCTGGACAAAGCTCAAGGAGCCCCTGTCTGGGCAATAGACTATATAAGAGCTTTACGTTAACTCAAACGCGAGGTTATTTCTTATTAAGTTTGTTTCATATTACAAACTAACCCACGGCACCAACACTGGAGTCTTTTTTAGATTCGAATCCAATGTCGTGGTCTCCATCTATGCGCTTGTAAATTGAAATCAGTAGCACACCAGCAGTAGCTCCCGATTCTGGAAGAAAGAATGGGATCAGAAAATTTCACATCCGCAAAGCATAGACCAGGATCAGGGTTGAAAGTTCAATTACAGACTGAAATAAACATAGTCAACCAATTTTGCGTAAAAAGTACTTTTGCATGTGACTATTGTGGAAAATGGATCCTTTAGAGAAATGTCCACGATATGCGATACGACTTTCAAGAGCTCTTCCTTCGACATTTTTGATGCCTAAAGAGATTTGCGAGATTCCTTACTCGAACGTTTGCTGATGAGTAAACTCACCCGGCAAAGTGGTTCTTCTTTGTAAAAATGTTCTAATAAGAAATCTAGAATCCGTTGACGATCAGCACTCGTTGCAATTCTGTAGTCATAGTTGTCATCAGTCATGCCTGTAAAGAATGCGTTCTTTTGCAGGGAAAGTTTTAGTAGGAAGAGTTTCCATCCAGGGAGCCGTACGGGAGCATTCACTGAACTGGCATTATTCCATTACCTTACAAATGACAGAAATGATAAAAAGAACTGTTATGACATCTATAAAATTGAATCACATCTAGTTCTTGGTTTACGCTGTGCGTTCTTTGGTGGCAGTTCTAATAGAGAGAGACGCTCCGATCCTCCATCTTACCGAGGAAAATTCAATGAGAGCGAATGAACGCCTTCCGTTAATAATTAGGACGAGTTCCACTTCCACTAGACTTTGGTTGATCCTACAACAATGAGAGTTTTTGGGAGATTTTTTCTAAATGGAGCGCAGTAGGATGGATTTGCCTCGGGTATGAAAATTTTTCCACGATACCTCCACCCTTGTTCAAAATATTTGATATTTTGCAGCTGTATATCCACAATCGCAAAAATCAAGCTAGTCTCTCAAGAAAAGTCAACTTTCTGCATTCTATGGGCTGCAGAGGGATTAGGAACACTTTCTATTAGCTTGTCTTAAGGTAATAAACAGGAACACTCTCCCAGAAACTCGAAAACTGCATCTAATTTCTACGAAACCACCAGAAACCAGAACATGAGGTTTTTACCCTTTAATTTCAACTTTTAATCCTACAAAATATTCAAGCCTATATAGATTAGTTTCATCGCAATGTTCAGTATTAGAAGCACTCGAAATGCGTTGAAACTTTTATAACACCTTAAAACCGCTCCCCAAATTCTCTATCACTTCTCTCATAACCATTTAGAGAGCTGCTTTGACGGCAAGGGAGAGTTGAATTGATCGATCGAAACCTTCGCAGAACAGAGTTTACAATGGCGTAGTTACTTTTTCCCGTGTATAGAATCTCTGTGATAGATGAACGACTACGTCATGAAAACTCTTATCTTCGAATTTACAGCTACGTTCTAACCATGAGCTAAGGATTGGCAATTGAATGAACGAGTGATCGGAATTTCCAGTTTTTCCTGAACGTACATACGCTATAGTATTGAGCTTGAAGAAGCTCATCCTGGTCTCCCAGATGATTTTGCTCAACAGCGCCATACTGGGACTTTCGTTTTCCATACTGCGCTTGGTGCATGACCCTCTTGTTTCTCCTTCGTTCCTTATGAGGAAGGGTATTTTATGATAGCGCCTGTACATTGCTGCTGTAATAGCGACAATGCCCTATACGTGTGTGTGCAATCCCTATCTAATTTCGACATTGCATATGGAAGACATTCTATAGATATTGAGTATTACTCAGTAGAAATAGAAGAGCAACCGAGAAGGGTTGGAGCGTAAAACGAAATGCAGAATGGACTTTATCAGACGTACTTGGGAGACCCACAAAAGAGAGCTCAATTACGCACCAGGTAAGGGAATATGAGGAAACCGGTCCGTACTCAGAATCGCGAATTTCCAACGCGTCGTTCTGCTCAATACATTCCTGATGTTACCAAAAAATGTGACGCAGTCGCGAACATCGTTACCGGAAGCTATGTGCACAGACGTCGTTACTTCTTCTCTAGAGTGAGGATAAATTCCGTATGGAGCCAGCGCTTGAACAAAATTTACTTATTCACGCTTCTGAATCTGCAAACTATGGATAGTACCATCAGGCCTGACGAGCTATTGTTATACGACACTGACCATGAAAATTCCATTTAAATCATAAGTGAATGAAAAAAAAAANAAAAAAAAAGCTGCAAAGGCCATACACCTCAGTTTGGGCATTTTTCGCGATACAACACTGCGAGCATCAAAAAAAATCGTCTTGTAATATTCAGACTTCTCAGCATTCCGAGAAGGCAAAACCAAGGAAGTGAGGTACTTTTTTTTTGCTGTCAGTTTTTACAAGATGGGAATTCCTCGTTGCTTCATTGGGAAAATTTTCAAGGTGTTGCTTTTTGGCTCAGAAATTTGCTAGAGAAAAAGAGCGACTGAAGCTTACGAAAGAAGACTTTCCGATCAATAGTCTCCTTATTTCATTGTAGAATATCGCGTAGGTTCAAATATTTATGAGGAATTAAATCAGGGTACCCTTTGCCTCCTTATAGCGGATTTAAAGAAGGAAATGGGAATTAAATTGTTGGATAGGGAGTCTAACAAAGTATCGTCATTGCAGTTGTGCGGTAGAGGTTAAAGTGTGAATGGGAAGTAAATGTAAATGGCAAAAGGTGTGATAGAGATTCCAGAACACCGTCGTCGCCAAAAATGTGTGACAAAGCCCCGACAGCGGCGATTGTGTTTAAGGTCACTAGGAGGTGATAACGAGAGAAACGGAATGTGTGATAAGCAGGAACAAGTGATTNNNNTATCGCGTAGGTTCAAATATTTATGAGGAATTAAATCAGGGTACCCTTTGCCTCCTTATAGCGGATGGAAAGAAGGAAATGGGAATTAAATTGTTGGATAGGGAGTCTATCAAAGTACCATCACTGTGGTAGTGCAATAGAGGGTAAAGTGTGATGGGAAGTAAGTGTAAACGGCAAAAGATGTGATAGAGATTCCAGAATATCGTCGTCGCCAAAAATGTGTGACAAAGTCCGATAGCGACGGTTGCGCTTAAGGCCACTAGGAGGTGATAACGAGAGAAATGGAACGTGTGATAAGCAGGAACAAGTGATTTCGATGAAAAACGGTTCATTGCACAAAATGGAATGGAAGAAAGGCTTTGCTGGTGTACATGAGCTGAACTGGACTGAAAGGTATGTCAACCTAGAACATATGTATATGTAACAGGATAGAGAAGGGGAAATGATGATCGCGGCACTGGTGAGACATGGGAACTGAGACAGTTTTCGCTGTGGGTGGGTGGTAGTCTTTCCTTGGCCAAATAGTTTGTGTATCCTGAAAGCGTGATTGATGATTACCACCGACTAACGTTGTCCAGAAATTCGATATTTTATAAGAATAGTTCCAGATGTGAAAATCCCCATTAAAACAGCTTACATGTGAAGTACAACACTTAGGTTTCAAGCCATTTGGGGGTAATCATCGTAAATTGTGTTTACAATTTGTACGGTTCCTTGAACGACGCGATTCCTCAGAGTGAGTGATACAGTGGAGGTGCTTGACACCTCTCTCGGAGAAGCGTTCTAGCACTAGGCAAGTAGTCAGTGTTTAATAAGCAGAATAATAGATGTGAATAAGATAAAATGAAATAGAATTCTGGTTCGAGATAGATGGCTGCTGATAGATGACACAACTTGATTTTGACCATAACTTACAAATTGTCGCGATAAGTCATTGTTCATCATTCATCAAGGGCTGTCTAACTGGAGCGATCAAAGGCCGAATCAGAACAGACTGTTTTTCAGGTATTCAAGGAAATTTCAGATAATTCAGAAGATGTAACTGCATTTTTGATTAAGAGCTACCTGAGTAACTCCTAACAGTACTGTATGATTAGTACCAGAGCTTCCAAACACAAGAGCAGTAATACATTGCCAGCAAAGGAAACGTGGAATTAAGTGAAAAGATGTGATTGAAGACTTCTAGTATAATGTTTCGAAGCAAGATTGTTCATACAACTTCAGGAAGGAATGTTTGTTAGAAATAGAGTATCAGTCTTGTCATGACTGTAAGCTGGTCGCATCTGTCACAAGACCGAGCGGAGAAATTCGCGAAACATTGCAGGCAAATAACGGCAGCATCTTCCTAGGGAAGACCTCCATCGTCCAATTTATTGATGACTCTCAGCAACTCGATTGTTGCAAGCGACATTTCATGGCCCACAATGCACAACGGATGTTCTCAGATTACCTTATAAGTCTTATTTTTACTTTTATACCAATTTCTGACTTGTTTCCTTTCAAAAATGGGCATTTTAGTATGCTTCAGAAGCCATGTCCCTGCAGTAACAAGTTTATCTCTTAACATTCGATTTTCCATGAAAATAGACGATTATGTAGAGGTTACTAGTGAAAACTCGGTTCTTCCGATTTCTACTCGCTGTTGTTTGCATTTCGCTTATGCTGGAAAGCTGCCTGAGCAAGCTAACTAACCAACGATGTAGTGTGGCCGTCCTCCCACTCAGAAACCAGAGATTAAAAATGATGAATGCAATTTGGACGACCCGTGCTCAATGCAGAAGTTGAGTAGAGAAATCGGAAAACACTGCAGAACCACGAAAGTAGCATAGGACCACATCAAAGATGGGCTGTAGTGAAATAACAGGGCTGTTCCACATGATAGACAGGAGAAGAATGCTGAGTTTTCTCGCCTCAAACATCGACAAATCACTTTTCTTCCAATGCTCGGTGATGGTTGAACTCATCTAATTTATCTCTGAAGAGGTCCTTGGTTATGGATTCCCTCGGCATCCCCAATATTTTCGCAAAATTCCAGCACTGTTTTCTTGACCAGTTTTGTAGCTATCATACAACGAATGAACAGAAACCGTTCTTCCCCTACCAAGAAAATCTCGGAAAACAGAAATCCGTTTTGATGGATTTAAGAAGAATCAAAAAATATCATCATAGTTCAGGAGAAGAAGGAAGGTTTTCAGGATAAATAGGNACAGAGCTGTTATACAAGATGGACAGGAGTAGAATGCTAAGTTTTCTCGCTTTAAACATCGACAAATCACTTTTTTTCGAATGCTTGATGATGGTTGAGCTCTAGTTTATCTCTGAAGAGGTCCTTGGTTATGGATTCCCTCGGCATCCCCAATATTTTCGCAAAATTCCAGCACTGTTTTCTTGACCAGTTTTGTAGCTATCATACAACGAATGAACAGAAACCATTCTTCCCCTACCAAGAAAATCTCGGAAAACAGAAATCCGTTTTGATGGATTTAAGAAGAATCAAAAAATATCATCATAGTTCAGGAGAAGAAGGAAGGTTTTCAGGATAAATAGGTTCAAGTTTCGTCGAATAAGAGAAAAATTCTAGAATTAGATTACAGTGATTTTTAGNAACCAGGATCTTCTTCACGTGACGGTCTTGCGAAACCCATTGA